GAATTTAAAATATCCCAGAGAAAATACGTTTGCTGGCTCTAGTAACTGCATTACTTCCTCTGGGACATTAAACAACCAGCACCTCACAGTGGGTGGGATAGCAGATGCTTTCAGAAATTCTCCTTACTGTAAATATGACTTGCTCTGTCTCTTCTCTTTTGTTTTTATTCATTGAGTGGCTGTAGCCTTTGTTACTCAACTTCTGTGTAGGGATTTGGGCTTGTTCTGAGACTTGGCCAGGAGGCCTGAGTATATAGTTAGCCTGAGGGACAATTCCTAATTACTCAATGCCACTGCAAAAGAAGGAACAGATGGGAATTGCAATTCCCTGGTGCTGACACCTCCAACTGTTTTGTCCTGTCCATCCCTACCTGTTTAAATTCTAATCTTCTGCCTTCTCTTCCCACCTTCTCTTTTCCCTAATTTCTATTCCTGCAGGGGTATTTCAGGTGTAACTTTTTTCAACCATTTTCACTTACAACAAACTACCAGGAATCTTCAAATTTTGTTTCTCAAAGGGATAGAATTCATGTGATGAGTGCACATAGTGCAATGTATGTTCAATATGTGGAGTAGATCTGCTACTTGAGGACCCCAGTTCCTGGCAGGATTGGAGCTGCTGCATGTGTGACTTGTCCACAAGTTACTACTGTATCCAAAACCATCCATGTACACCCAAATGGGCAATGTCCTTCCTTTAAAACATCAGCATTGTGGCAAATCATCACTGCCAACAAAAGTGGTCATTGGAGATGTAAAGCAGGCTACCTACAAATATAGATCAGACTTTTTTCCCTCACAAGACTGGGATTTGACCTGGCAATATGTGAATCTGGGTCAGATTTGATAACTGAGTCAGATGGGTTATGTAGAAAGAAACTCTCTGTCTTTCTTCACACTAATGCATGTCCAGACAGATCTTCATTCTCAGAAGGGGAAATAAATTTATGTTCACACACTGACATTTTCCAGATGATCTAAGTCAATGTTTAGATGTAAAAGTGATGAGAAGTTTCAGTGATTTTTTTTTCTTTTTTTTTTTTTTAAGAGGGCAAAGTAATTACAGGGATGAAGGAGAATATTTTCTAATATTTTCTTTTTCAACTCTTTAAACTCTATTGCTAGGAAAACCTCAGCACTGCAAACTCGAATGTTTTTTTTTTCTGTATTGAACAAAATGTTTTTTCAGCAGTGGGCAAGACTTTTCGTGCTTATTCAGAGAGAGAAAAAACCCTTTGTAGGGTCATCTGAAAACCACGTAACCATCTGTTAAACAAAATGAGTTAAAACGTGATACAGAATATCAGCACCCTGTTTCTCAGGGTTGAGATACCTATGCAAGATCTTTTCCAGTCTTGCTCAAACATCTTCAACAATGACCTGAAGGAAAGGGTAGAGTTCATCCTTGGCAAGTTTGCTGATGATACAAAGCTGAGAAGAGTGTCTGACACTCTTCACACACAGAAGGCTGTGCTACCATCCAGCAAGTCCTGGACAGATTGGAGAGTTGAGCAGAGAAGAACCTTATTAGTTTCAGTAAGGGCAAGTGCAGAGTCCTGCACCACACGCATCACTGTAGATTAGGGGTTAATCTGCTGGAAGAGAGACCTGCAGCAAAGAACTTCGTAGTTCTAGTTGGCCATGAGGCCAGCAGGTTGGCCATGAAGCAGCAGTGTGCCCTGGTGGATCAGAAAGCCAATGGTATCCTGGGGTGCATTAAAAAGAATGTGTGCAGCAGGTCGAGGGCAGTGATCCTCCTCCTCTATTCTGCCCCGGTGAGGCCTCATCTGGAGTACTCTGTCCAATTCTGGGCTCCTCAGTTGAAAAAAGATAGGGATCTCATAGAAGGAATCCAGTGGAGGGTCACAAAGATGATTGAGGGCCTGGAGCATCTCTCGCACAAGGAAAACCCGAAACTGTTCAGCCTGGGGAAAAGAAGACAGATGGGGAGATCTTATGAATGCTTATAAATATCTAACAGGCTGGAGTCAAGAGAATGGGGCCAGGTTTTATTCAGTGGTGCCTAGTGACAGAACAGGGGTCAATGGTCACAAACTGGAACATGGGAAGTTTCATCCAAACACGAGGAAAAACTTGTTTACTTTGAGGGTGATGGAGCACTGGAGAACAGGCTGCCCCGAGAGGTTGTGGTGTCTCCTTCTCTGTAGATATTCAGAACCTGCCTGGACATTTTCCTATTTAACCTACTGTAGAGAACCAGATGGACTAGGTGAAGTTCAGAGGTCACTTCCAATCCCTACGATTGTGTGATTTTGTGAAATACTTAGTGATAAAAGAATAAATGGCATTCAAATACTATGTTCAACAGTAATCTGTTTAAATTCACTCTGAATAATATATTGAAATCACTAGCTTGGAATTCAACTTGCCCAATTTTACAACCTAAAAATGCTCATCTTGCATCTAGTGCTGGAAATAGCTTTGCTTCTGAGATCATAGCTGCCACTTCTTCAACAGCTTTTACTGGATGTTCAAATTTTATTTCTTTAGTTAAATTTTCTGGTTGAACATTATGTATGGGCATACTTCATTTGATCAGTTATAGCCAAAGAGGTTAGCCAGTTTATGGCTAAATAACCCTCTGCTATCAAAGAAGAAATGAAATTCCCTGAATTAATATAAATTCCTTGAGGCAGTGGCTGTATCTGAGAAATACTAAGGGGAACCGATCCTGTTATATTATGATAGTTCAGAGACCTACAAGTGTTACCCTTTTCAGAACAGTAAAATCTACATATTGTACATTTTAAGGTAAATGGAATCTTTTTTTTTTTTTTTGATGGATAGATGATGGGAATTATTGATGTGTCTGCTTAACATGCTGTTCTCTTGGCAGACAGCCTAGCCATTAGAAGGATAAATGAGAGCTCTCGTATATTGTTAATGTTTTTTGCAAGTGTTCTCAAATCACATACAAACAGACTGACTCTTGCTCTGCAAGATGCATGTAACAGCATTGATTTTAGTGGATGATGCTCATATCCAGCCAGGAGAACACCAGGCCCTTTGAACTCACTGCATGGTTAAGTAAGCTTTGGTCCTCAGAGGCTTTTTTCATCCGCAGTCTTGAAGGAGTGGCTTTTATAGAAGGCGTTTCTCTCTTGTTACGCTATTGGTTTCTGTGTTTAATTCTTAGATACTAAATATGCATTCTTATGTCAAATGATGCATCTCTTCTACTAGACTCCTCTCTTTGCATCTTTTTTGACAAGATGTACCAGGATACAAAGGAATCTAGTATTTCAAGTAGATGTGGTCCTTGAATACACCCATCTTCCTTCTGGATAAAAGAAAAATGCAATTTCAAATGCCACGGCTTGTGGAGAATAGAGAAGCCAAGGCTCCTGCTTCATCTGACCATGAATTTCTGCTATAAAAGGGAGGGAACATAGCTCCCCCTCAGCCTGTAAAAAGAAGATGGTTGATTCCTGCTCTGTCCCTGAAAACAATTATTTGAGCTCCATTGCCCCAGACATCCTTCCAGACTGCCAAAAGCAACCCCTTTCAGCTAAGTCAGTCTAAAATATTCACTGAAAATAATTTATATTTTAAAAGTAGCCTTGCTTGGTATGGGATGGGGAGAAGACTAATTGTTGCATGCTTTTGCTGTTTCTCTACTCTTTGCCTGTAGACTAGAACCTCTAGCTCAGAGCTCTAAATTGTATTTTGACAACTCCCAGCCTACTTCCCTCCAAAATGACATGTGGGTGATCAGATATGCTCTGTGCTGCTGAAGGGAAACAAACAGCAGGATGCTGATTGTTGGTGTTCCAACAAAGCAGCAATTCCTCAGAAAGGGGCAGGGGTGGAGGGACATCCATATTGCAAGGAGAGCTGGAATGCTGTCATTTGGCTATGTAACGTGACCAGTCACTATTTGGTACTAGAAGTACCCTTCAGGAGTGCACAGATTTTGTCTGAAGGTCAAACTCCTGGTTTGATAGATAAGAGAACGCACCAGGCAAGGGCTTTTGCAGGCTTGGGGTTTGTTTCTTCCTGGTATAGATGAGCATTCTTTTGCAGATTTTTTTCTCCTTTAATATTTTTGGGCTTTTTTTTCACAATGAAATCTTTACTTCAGTTTCTGATTAACCAGTTAATTACCTAGCTGTAGTGCTCTGTTGGTTTAGACCATGTGCTGTAGGCGTTCATGGCAACTAAACTCTGCTGGGAAGCTCAGTCTCATGTGTGGGTTTAATTAGAGATGCTTTGAGGGTGTTCTTAATGTTATTTGAGAACTCTGTGCATCATTTCCTACACAGCCTCCAGCATCATTTCTGGGCTCAGCAAGGCTATAGGAGCAACAGTGCCCCATTTGCTTCTGTGGGAGGAAACTCACACACTCCTTATTCTGAATATCATATTTAATGTTCTAGTACAGAAGTTAAGTAAAGCTATAGTTAATAAGAACCTCTCATGTACATATTAAGTTTTAAGGGGTATATTTTCCATTCATTTCACATGTGATTACTCCTCTTTGACATTAAATGGAATTCAATGTAAAGGCCAAAGAAATTGGTAAGTGGTGATATAAATTGAAATAAATCTCTATTAAAATACAGCTTTTATAGAAAGAGTCATTCAAGCAGCACTGTTGCAGCTTCCAACTATTCTGTATCATTAAGGACTAAAAGATCCTTTGTACTGGTGTCATTATGTATTAGAATAGTAGCATCTTCTGTTGCTACAAGGCGGCATGAAATAGATATCATCAGCTAAGAGATTTACATATCAAATATCGAAATTGGCTACATAAAGTGGCCTGGGCCCTATCACAGAATTACAGCCCACTGTAACAAACTCAGACAAGACAGCTTGAATGGAGTTGGCAGTACCTATGAAAGGTGATTGAAAAATTGATAAGAAAGATGCACTAGCTCCTGCTTTGCAGTGAGCTGTGCTGGAAACAAGTTGTGAGAACAGCCAGGTCTGACTGCTTCCTTACGCAACAGAAAAAAAATCCCTCTTTCTGTTGACAGACAGCTCAGTGCTCTGTCGCTGCGGCTCAGCTGGAGCAGACAGGGACAGGGATGCTGAAGCACAGCTCTCTCCTCCCTGTGACTGCATCAGGCAGCCTCACCAGAACCTCCCATCTGTGTGTCTGCAGGGCCACGGACAGCCTCAGCCCTCCCTCAAGGTAAGGCTTTGCAAGATCTGTCTCTGGGGAGAAAAGATATACTGTGTTGTACTATCTCCAAGTAATTCCTGCATTTACAAGAATAGCTGTCGGATTTGTAGTTTATAAAAAATTTTCCTAATTGGGATTGGTGCCCCAGTTTCTTTTGCCATGCAGCCATCCCAGTGGTGGTTTGGCACCACAGAGAAATCGGAGTGGGGTTAGAAAGTGCTCCACCTGGCCTCAATGCAGAGCCAAACGCTGATCGCAGCTTCTCTCATGCTCTCCTCTCTGAAAGTCCTGATTCTGCTCCTGCAAGACCTGAAGGGTCAGCCTTCTTTCATCTGCAGGGTGCTGAGACGGAGGAAACCAGCAGTGTCTGCCCTCAGAAGGGGCAGCTTAGCAGCTGCTGCCTCTGGTGTGCCTTGCTCTGCCCTGGGGTAGTTCTCCAGGCAACTCTTTGCTTTCCTTCTGCCTCAGGAGTTGCTCTCACAGAAGTCAACGTCAGGTTCTTCCTTCTGCCTTTGCTTATTCTAAGGTAAATCAGAGTGAGGTGCAAGCATTTGTGACTTAATGGAAATGAATGCAAAGGAGGCAGCCTTGCATTTGTCATCATGTGATAACTATTTCATGTTAAATGGCAACCAATTAAATAGGTGTAGAGGAGCACCAAAACATCTGGCTTTCACTGAGCACTGGGAGAAATGTGTTTGAAGGAGAACAATTCCACATGTTGGAAAGCAGCAGAGAATGTAAGCATGAGGAGCTAGAGGAAGTAGAAGAAGGACTGTGGTATGCTATACTTTGAAACGTTTACAGCCATTGGATTAGGACTTCTTTTAACTGTTACAAGGTTTATGTTACTACATAAAAGATACTGATTATTATCAAACTTCCTTAAAAAAAAAAAAAAAAAAAAAGTGATCTTTTTCCTGGGATTAGAATATGGCGTGGTTTGAGGTCTCTACAATACAGCTCACGTTCTGGTTATTGTCATGTTACTGTAGTGTTCAGTACCTTTTTTTCTGGTATGGTTGAACAGCCACCCTCTGATGGAGGAAAAATTTGCACCTTGTTTTTGCAGTCAGTGTGGAACAGCAGTGGGAGGCAGAAATAGGGGGAGCTGACTGTTTCCACTGCTTTGTGGGAAAGAGTAACTCATTAATCCATGAAAGTAGAGAAGAAATGTATTTTTATTTTCAGTGCAAGTGATTTCTGAAAGGACAAGTTATTTTTGTTAGCTGTATGGAAATGAGGAGAAGGGAAGTGTAGGATCTCAGTGCAGCAGGTCAGTGCCGGTCTGCTACAGCAGTGCTGATGTGAGGATCAGAAAAAGTAAATCTGGGGAAAGTAAAGAGATATCTTGGTTAAAAAAAATGTTTTGGAAGAGAAGTATTCTGAATTGCCCTACAGACTCTTGAGGATGAGTGAGAAGCAAGGAGGAAATGGTAAGGTATTGTCCTGCTTTGTCTGGTTTGTGTGGAGAGCAGCTATGACTCTATATTCTTACTCCCTCACTTTGAATTTCCCAAAATAGAATATTTCCATTCCAAGTTCACTCCTTTGCTGTGCTTCAGAAGTGCTGTGTATATTCTCATGTCATCAATTACGCCACTGACTGTTCCCAGTTACTGTACCAGCTCCACAGTAATATTTGCTTTCACTTTACTTCATGGGCACCTCTACATAGGGCAATGTGTGCATCCTATGTGTTAAATCACAGCACTGCAGAGCATGGTTTAGAGGGAAGTGTCCCTGCTTATAGCAGGAGGTTGGAGCTAGATGATCTTAAAGGTCCCTTCCAACCCAAACTATTCTGTGATTCTATGAAGATGGAGCTCTGGGAAGCAGTGCCACCAGCACAGAGCATCTCAGGGTGAGGGGCTGAACTCCGGCAGCCCATGAGCCTCAGCCCAGCATGGCTCCAGTGTCAGCAGCCTTCTGTCCCCAGGGAAAGGCACTGGAAAGCACCGAGCCCACAGGAAGTGATTCCCAGAGTCACCGAGGGCTTTTTATCGCAAAAGCCAAGGGTAGTACAGATACATTGCTTGAAGAATAATAAGTTGACCTCCCTCAGGAAAGCAAATTTATGTTATCTTACATGAATGTGGTAATTTATACAGTGTTTAAAAGACTGTAGCCTAGTAAATAATCTTTCAAATGAAGGATGAACTTTTTTCACCTGTTGTACTGGATCTGAAGCCTTTCTGAGAATCCTGGTTCTTTTTAATCTGTATGTTTATTTTAAAAAAGCTTACACTAGAACTCATTTTGACATACCTATTTTTCAACATTCGCTGAGTAATTCTGAGCATGTGTCTCATTAAGGGTTCTTATGCAGTGCATGTATAGCTATGCATTGCTATTTTGTCAGTGCCATAATATACATGCAGAACACTACCTACTGAAAGCAGAAATGAAGTAAAATGTATTTTAGAAAACTTTCTGAAATTCAGATCTTTTATTTTTGCTTCCTTTAGCCTTTTCCATACCATTCTTTGTGGTTAACTGATGGCTTCTGCATTTCAGCTCAGTGGGATGATACGATGTTGCACACTGTTTCTTACTCAGCCATCATAAAGGATCCGGCAACTACAGAAGTACTTTCCATGATTTTTTTCTGAGGTTGTTTTTAATATGTTGTTTTTTGTTCATTTGTTTTTGTTTTGTTTTTGTGGCAGCTTTGGAGTGCACAGTGGTTCAGGTCTGGCAAGTCTTTCAGATGGAATTTAACTGTAGGTGAATCCAGAACTCCTCAACCTTGGTAGATCATGTTCTCATAATGTGATTTAGTGAGTGTGCTCTAGGGTATGCATGCTCTGAGTGTGTATATTTGCCTTCCTTCACTGCTATTTGTACAGCTTCTTTTACATTTTTTGCCAGGATGACAGTGTTTGCATTTGGCCTACTTTGGTTATTATTAGATTCTTTCAGTGCCCAGTAATTGACTCTTTTCTGAGATGCTATGTAAGAAGCCTGGAGTCTTTTACATGTGTTATTTAAATATTTGATTTCTTCCATTGGTTTGTCTGCATGCCCTGTTTCTCTCTTCAGCAGCTTTCATAAAAATCCTCCAGTGTTTTCAAGCCCTGTGGCATTCTTGCTGACATGAAGCAGTAGGAGCTAGAGAGGAGATGACTAGGAAACACTGATGAGCTACTATGGTGCTAAAGTTGAAACAGAGAGGGGAAAAAAAAGAAAGGAAGAAAAAAAAAGCATCTTTGATAGAGTTCAGACCTCCGAGCTCTTCAGTAACCTGGCAGGAAGGGACAGGATGAGGCACTGCAGCTGTGCTATCAGCTGGATGAAATGATGAGGGATCAATATCTGAGCAGTGTTGTCAGCTGAGTATTTGCATCTTATGCAGTTACAGTCACTGGCGATCGCAGGAATGCCTCTACCGATGCTAATAATGAATTTAAAAAGCTGTTCTCATGAAGTGAAGGGGCTTATACCGAGAAAGTAGAATAAATGAAATTTTCTAAGTATTAGAGAAATGCTTGCATTGCATAATTGGGTTTGGAATCCAACCTGAGTGTTATTTGAATATGAAGATATTTTTGCCATTTGGAGGAAGGATTGCACTGGAGAAGAGAGGAGGAATCCAGAGTTATAGATTTCCTAATTACAAACAGGCATTGTCAGACACTGCAATCAATAAGATTCTCACTCACATTTCTGCATGACTGGAGCACACTGTGAGTTATCACGGTGTATATTTTTATTTAAACAGCTGTGCAGATGACCTTACATCAGGGTCAAAGCTGGTGAGTCAAAGCATGCTGCAAGTGAAATTTCAAAGGGATTCCTGACTAGCTAGTGAAATTATAGTTTCACGTGACTAAGCAACTTAAGATAAGTACTGTAGCTGAGAATCAAAATGGAATATTTTTCCCCCAAGTGATTAAGCACAAGTTCTTCACACTGTAAAAATATTTCTCTGAGTTCATTCAAGCATCTAATCATCTCACTGGATCATAGCCAGAAGCTAACTGAACAAAGTTGTTCATGTGCAGGCTGGAAGCAATAGAAAAACTGTTGCTGGAATATTTTTTAGAACAGATTATTGGAGTACCTCTCTTTAAATTTTGAAACCAAACTCACATGGCAGCACTCAACTACTGGGACACAAAACCATAAATACCCAGCAAGTACTCTAGGAAGCATTCTATGTGGGGGCAGAGGGAGAAATAAAAAAAAAAAAAAAAAAAAAAAAAATCTAGTTAGCAGGTTCTTGTACATTTATTAGGCGATGAAAAGTCTAACAGATAGCAATCAACCCCAGACTCTTCCTGGCCCTGTTGGATACTGAACAGGCATTGTGCTCACAGGGATACTGAAGTTCTCCCAGCTCCAGTGTACCCATCAGATGGCATATGTACTGAGAACCTAAACTTTCATATTGGGGTGGATTTTGTTTAGTTTGATTTTGGGGGTATTTTTGACTGCTAATTAAAATCCTTGAGAATGTGAATGGGATGGGAACTAGTAATTCTGTGGAACAGGAATTGTATCATAGATCTGAAAAACTGAAGCTACCATGATGATGCAAATATGAGTCACCTGTTTTCAGTCCTCTAATGTGTCCTACTCAGCAGTGATGCTGGTGATGATGCATAAATGTAATCTCAGTCACTAAAAATAAAACCTTCTTCAGTTCAGATGATACTATTAGCATTGAAATGTTGCTTTACCTAGGCAAGTTGTAGATCCTACTTCAATGTGCTTTTCTGATGAAGGGAGCACTTAAGCCTATTCTGTTACATAGAACCTCAATACAGTGAACTCTCTGAAACACAGCAGTGCTGTGGGTTCTGTTCAGCCCAAAACTTCACTTAACAAAAATAACTTGCTCTTTAACAATTCTTCTAACTAAGGGAAGTGGTGAAAGATAAGAAAAGAGCAGAGAGGAGAAAAAAATAAACAACAACAACAACAAAAACCCACCAAGGATTCGAAGGAAAGGGATGAGAATGTAAGATTTGAGTTGTTTCAAAGACCAAGCCTGCTATCACCAATTC